GCTGTGAGATATTAATTCTGCCTCCAACTGGGCCAGGATGAGCCAGTCGTCGAGGTAATTGATAATACAGATTCCCATCTGTCTCAGAGGGGAGAGAGCCGCATCCATGCACTTCGTAAAAGTGCGGGGGGCCAGAAACATGAGCACGGGGAGGCGGGGCCGCCTTCCGCGAACGAAGCAGACTGCTTTTGTGGTAAAAAGTGGCCCGTGTCTGTGAGCGCAGCCATAGTGACACACACAAATTTGAAAAGCTGTCAGCGGCAGCATCTCCTCCGATCTAGAGTGCAACGGGGAGAGCGAGCACGCGGGTACAGTGCAGGCATGCGATCGCTCAGACCCGGTTGCTTTAGCTCCCTGACTCCACTGTTTCTCTCTCCGAGGCTCGCTGAGAGAGGAGAAACGGGAGAGCGGGGCTGCCTCCAGTGAAGGCGGTCCACGAGTGGAGAAGAGCGAGACTCATGCTCGAGTGAGCATTCCGTCTCAGTGAGAGTGCAGTCTCTGCGTGGGGTCTGCCCAGACAGATGACATACTCATTGCTCTTCTGCATCGTGCAAGTTTCCCTGCACGAGCCACACTCGCAGAGCGACATTTGCAACAACGTCGCTAGAATTTGCTCTTTTAGGGCTTACCTGCTAGAAATAAGCTCTTTTAGAATCTCCGGATGGTGGCAGGGGAAACGTACCGGAACTGCTGCGTCGCTGTAGCGGCGGAGAAGCAGGTCAGCTGTGCTGAGAGGTCCCGATTCCAGCTGCGAAGGCGTGTCAACGGCGAGCAGGCTTTCAGGATCAGCGATGAGCGTAGAGTCGTCGCTGAAGGAGAAGAAATCTGAGAATCCTGTGGCGAGCGCCCCCTTATATAGCCAGATGCCCCGCCCATTCTGGCGGGCTTTGTCGCCATAGGCTCATGCAGCTCCGCTGCCAAGCCATTGGTTCATTTTTTAAGCACTGCACAAACCAATGGCCATGCAGTTTCACTGCGTGAATGAAAAGGCTTCAGTTCAGGAGAAAAAAGGCTCTTTTCCCATATGCGTCTTAAGCAGACGCAGTACGAATGAAGTATCGAAAGGGAACTGTGGAATATGGTGCAATCTTTCCTTGCCTTATAAACAGGCACCCTTTAATAATTTTTTGGTTACTTCCAAAACAAACAAGTAACCATGAGAGGTAAAACTAAGCTCGTATCATAGTCTCCGCCTCAAATAGCAGGTGTGGTCTGTCACCCACTTTTTTTACTACATAGTCATAGTACACTATGAGAGAACAAAACATTGTAGTGTTATAATTTTTAAGAAGCTGAGAGCAACTTTGTGTATTATATGTGTCACTTTTGAGCAAAACCTGTGGAAGGATGATCTAGAACACAAAATGCTGTATACAAGTTTTTGTCTTTCTTTTATGACAGGATTTGTAATCAAGATAAGTGAGCTAAACTGGACAAGCCTCATACATTACAGTTGTATATTGAAGTGATGTATTTTTATAGCAAGTGCAAAATAATAATAATTAACAAAATAATTAACAAAATCTCTTTTCCATATTTGATTTCTCCCATCATCAAGACCTCAAGCAAAACACAAGGCGAAGTGCTTAAACATCCCCAAAAAAATGTAGTTCTAACTCCAAAAATTCAGAGACACATTCAAAACTTCATTGAGTTTAACTAATAGATTTGCTAAAATATATTTCTATACATAATTGATACTTTGAATGCTAGGCAGTATATGAAACGGAGATGATGTGGTCATGTGTTTACATGGTTTGTCTGGCTAATTTAAATGTTGCCCATTTTGATGAAGCGCTGTGATTTCTGCCGTGCCATCTGATATTGCCTGCGTGCAAACTGGGCACTGTCAATTCCTTCTCGCAGTCTCTGTGGAGTGTGAAGCAAAAGAGGTCAAAGAGGCCACCGATTGTTCTTGACAGAAAATGAAAATCAGTCATTTTGATAGCAATGTACTTTTACTCAGTATAAAGGCATGTGAGCATGAAAGAGATAAAACTAGTGCAACCTGTGCAACTAGCTTAATCACAACTTGGCATCTGTGAAACAGCAAGCTAAATGTACTGTAAAATGCCCAGTGTCATATTTAACACTGGGCATTGACATTTTGCTTGCCAGTTTCACATTGATGAAATTTAATTCATTATAGGAATAGTTTACACAAAAATAGAAATGAGCTGAAAATTTACTCACCCTCAGGCCATCCAAGATCTAGATGAGTTTGTATCTTCATTGAAACAGATCAGGAAAAAAATTACCATTACATCATTTGCTCACCAGTGGATCCTCTGCAGTGGATGGGTGCCATCAGCATGAGTGTCAATAAATCTTATAAAAACATCACAATAATCCACAATGTTTTTATAGGCTTTTTGAACTCTCATTCTGACGGCGCTCATTCATTGCAGAGGATCCATTGGTGAGCAAGTGATGTAATACTACATTTCTCCAAATTTGTTCCGATGAAGAAACAAACTAAACTATATCATAGATGGCCTAAGGGTGAATGCATTTTCAGCAAATTTTCAATAGTGAACTATTCCTTCAAAAGCTAAATAATTTTCAAGCAGAAGTTTTCATTTATAATCCACGCACACACACGCAAAACCCACGTCTGTGATTTTTACCTCAGCCATGTCAGCATGTCTCATGTGTATCACTTTCACTAGCGTCTGTCCATCCTTCTTAATGAGGTTTAATTTGTTCTGTTCCTGCACCAACATTCAGATGTTTGTAAAGCAATGTTAATTAGTTAATCATGACTTTATCAGTATGTTTTAAATTATACACTTATCACTGTGCTGTTAGGAAGCATGTAAAAGGAAGCCATTTATGTACCCGGTAATATATCTTCAAATCTCCTCCTTCTTTGCTTGGAGGCCTTTGAAAGTTCTCAAATTGACATTCCCATTCTTTATTGAAATGTCCAATCACGTCGATCTCCTTCACACACATCACTCTCCTGCATGATAAATAAACCAACACACAGCAAGAACATATGGAAAAGGGAAAACTGGCAAAATGCCACTGTTTCATCATTTTTCTGTTGTTGGAATACCTGTTGGTGATAATGATGTTTGTTTTTTTGTACCCTGGGTACTCATAGTGTTCTCTGAAGATCTCTTCATCCAACTGTTTAATCTCAGACCTCTGAAAAACATACACGCTCATACAGCACAATACACCAAATACTGTAGAGACTGCGCCCGAATATTTTTCAACAATAATGATCTGAATCAAAACGAACTAAAAAAGAAAAAACACACACATAGAAAATTCAAATCAGAAAATGCATCCAAAATGCATAAAACTGATCATGGCAAAGAGGAGTATTGATTTATTCCAGATTATTTGGGTCAAAACACAGGCCTCAAGCAAACTCTTCGATTAATACAATTACAACACAGTAAAGCCACATTAAAACAAACAATTACATGACAATTATGAACCACATGTCTTATATAACATATAGTGTATAAAGTATATAGGAAAATACATCAGACATTAATTCCAACATGCACTGTAAAATGCCCATTTAGTGCATATAAATACGTTTGCATATATTAATATGCATTTGTATGTACTGACAATGATTGAGAATAATGTTTACATTATATTTTTAATAAATACATTTTATGTAGACTATAATATTGTGTTAACAGACTTTATATTCATGGAAATGTATTTACAGACATAAATTAAAAGAAACTAAAATGAAGTTTAGAAAAATAGACGAACTTTGGAAGTTCCACATCCTATTTCTAACAAATCTAATAATTGTTTAAATATTAATAATGAAAATCTATTATTGTTTGCCAGTGTGGCTCTAAAGTCTTAAAATTACCTTGTTTTTGTGAATTTCAAATAATATATTTGGGGGAAAATATGATATTGACTAATGAGTTTATGTTTGGATATATTTGCCATTAACTGATACAAAATAAAAGTATATACTGATATAAAACTGATATAATAAAAATGTCTGAGGTATAATGCCGAAATTATTTTTGGCAAAATTAATGGAGACCAATAAGAAAAAACATGTTTTCTAGACAAGAAAAGTAGCACAGCCATAAAAGTGCACAAGACAGACAACTTCAGATGCAGACTTAGGATAATATATAATTTTCTAAACACAATCATGTAACATTCTATTGTAGGTGGACCAGGCTAGACTGAGTCTAGTACTGGATATCCAGTTTGGTTCATTTAAGTGCTACAATATCTCTGTGTTCTCAAATGTTTTCAGTAACACCTTTAAAGGAACACTCCACTATTTTTGAAAATAGGCTCATTTTCCAACTCCCCTAGAGTTAAACAGTTGAGTTTTACCGTTTTCGAATCCATTCAGCCGATCTCCGTCTGGCGGTAGCACTTTTAGCTGTAGCTTAGCATAGATCATTGAATCTGATTAGACCGTTAGCATCTCGCTCAAAAATGTCCAAAGAGTTTCTGTATTTTTCCTATTTAAAACTTGACTCTTCTGTAGTTACATCGTGTACTAAGACCGACGGAAAATGAAAAGTTGCGATTTTCTAGGCCGATATAGCTAGGAACTATACTCTCATTCCGGCGTAATAATCAAGGAACTTTAATGCCGTACCATGGGTGCAGCAGGCGCAATGATATTACGCAGCGCCAGAAAATAGGCTAACTTCCGCCAACATAACCAACGTGACCACCTGCTTGCACAGGGAGCGTGCTGGGGACTATTTTCAGGCGCAGCGGGAGATCGGCTGAATGGATTCGAAAACGGTAAAACTCAACTGTTTAACTCTAGGGGAGCTGGAAAATGAGCCTATTCTCAAAAATAGTGGAGTGTTCCTTTAAGGTAATAGTCCCAATGCCATCTCCCACTCCCAATTTACATTTCCTCAGGCTGCATTTGGGAAAGGACAGAAAAGAGAGAAAAAGGAAAAATTAAATGAGTAGGCAAACAAGAATGAATTTCTTCACAGCATGGCAGGAGTCAGCTCAACTTTGGAGTTTAAGGTCAGTTTTAATGAAGAATACAGCTGGAATTTTAACAAGGGGATTTGGAATTTGGTTGCGTTTAACTCCTCAGTTGAATAATCACATCACAATAAGACAATTGTTTTGTTTTGTTTCCTGAAAATGGTATATTTAAATATGCACTAATTAACAAAAATTTTCAGAACAGAAATCTGAACATTAAAGTCAGGTTCAAAGTTCTTGTTTTATTTTTGTTGATATTATAGAGTTTAAAAAGTGTTTACAGAGGGGATTTTAGAGAGAACCTTTTTTTTTATAATTCCATAAATCAGAAAGTGCTGTTAACATTCAGGAAAAAAAATAAAATCAACAAATTTTTAGGAATAAAATGTAACATAAATTAGGATGATATATATGAACAAATCCCTCTGTAAAAATCTTCCGAATATAAATAGGAATAAAACTGGAAAGTTTGGTGCATGTAAGTCCTACTGAAGTGGAGCTTTCTGGCTCAGCGCATGAGGAATAGTCTGAAATGCGACAATGCTATGGAAGCAAAATAGTCCAAAATCTTGAAATTGACCAGTTCATGAAAAAAACAATGGTTTTGCCTTAATTTGTCAAACTGACTCCAATCCTTCAAAACAATTTGGCTGTTAGTAGTTAGTAGTTGTAAATTAAAACGGAGGGTTATGCTGATTAAAATCCTTCCCATCGGGGTCTAGTAGCCTGGTCAGTGGGGTTGACAGGTGACCTCACCTGAAAGAGGTCATAGCCCTCCGACTCATGGTGGTTGTAGGGCCGTATGATGCCGTCCTCTTGTATGAGACGCACTGGCCTTAATTTAGTCACCTCTTCAGTCGATTCCGCCACTCTGCAAATCAAGTCAGCAATAGCATGTTATATAACTCTCACAAAGACTGTTTATTCATCTAAAATGCGTGGGCAATGGGTGAGTCATTCTTAACAACAGGTAGTGAACAGAATCTACTCGATTAAATTTCATCTGAGCATGCCCGAACAGCCTTGAACAAATGCAATTCATCTCAAAGAGTCATTTCAAAATCATCAACCTACAAAGTTTCTTTGTGCTATTGCGTGCAGAGTCTGATTCCTTAAGCCCTCTCTCACCTTTGGTTACTTCTACAGTGCGAGCATGGAAAAGCAATATGATTAGTTCATACAGACAGAGCTGATCGATTCAAGTGTATAAGATGGAGAGCAGAACGAATGGTGATGATTGAGCGCATATGTTAGAGAATCACTGGAGGGGTTGGGGAGGCATCACTGTTCCAGCTTGTCGTGAAAGGTTTGGCATGAAAAAGCCAGGGGCGGGAACACCACAGATTGGCCAACTCATTTTTCCAGGGCGGAATTAAAGGCATGGGTGCACAATGTGATTGGTTAGCCTGGTCATCGACTGCCTTTGAAATCATAATGCTTCTTTTGCTATTGCTCGGAGAGCGCCTGGTCACGCTAGGCAGTGCTGTATCATAGAGTCCAGTGCATCAGCAGTGCAGTGAGCTCATGCAGTGGACTTGGTCTGACAAGCAGAGCAGTCGGAAAGAGGGACATTATCCAAAGTTCAGCCAAAATTATACTCATTTACACATCCTCGTGTTGTTCCAAATCTGTACGACATTCTTCCTTCTGTGGAACACAAAAGATGAGTTTGTCCATATAATGAAACTCAATAGATGCTTTTCACATTAGGTGTCAGTCATTGTGGGTGTCAACAGCAGAAGTCGTCATAGTTTGGTCAATTTCTAAAACAGCGGCAAACTGACACAACAACAAATATAATTTTTGAATTTCTATTTGCTCCAATAGCTAAAGTTAAAAAAACTATGTATGATAGCGTTTCTCTGACTTTATAAAAGAAGAAAAAAATATGAAGAGACTGATTAAATTGGTCAGATTTGTGTGTATGTGTGTGTGTTTTTTCTGTTTGTTTGTCTTTTGATATGGATCTTTGAGCCTGAAATAAAGTGAAATGAAAAAAATATATACTCTTTGCTAGATTTATGATGTTAAAGGTGCAATATGTAAATTTGTTTTATTAAAATATCCCAAAACCACTAGAACAGTGTTATATATTTTGCTGACTTGTGTACTTACATTATCCCAAATGTTTCAAAGAATGTTTAAATCCAGAGAAATAAGCAATTTTAACTAGTGACACGGACCGTGTCTATAGTGTCATTGTGTCGCCTGCCAATGACGTCATACACCCTCGATTTCCGGTTTTGTTTTGTAGAAAACATGGAAACACCAAAGATGCTTTAATATGTTGTGCATTTTATTAGACAGGTGAAGACCGCACAGAGTAGCATTATAACAGAACTTTCAAACGTATCTAGTATGATAAAACAGCACTGCTTTACCCCACATACGCACGGCCAGAAGGAGCGGAAGCAGTCGACTGTGGCATAATAAAAGCTCCGCTGCTTTCGAGCCGTGTCACTCACGTCTCTCATTAGCAATTGCTTCAGCAGCCTCGTTTCGCTTCGACGGCTTTCCGCCTCACTCTGCTTCATACTACGATGTTAATAAATCTTTAATACATTAGCTCATCCACGAACATGATTTCTGCCTGAGTCCCGTCGGATTGCGTCGGCTGTGGGGATGAAGACGACAACTCGCATGATTCCACACTCAGTCACGGCGTCATCAAACTACGCCTTTGTTTCTTTGTTTGTTTTGAATACGCGCCCTCTAGCGGCGAAAACGTACATATTGTACCTTTAATAACTGTGGAAACTCGTCACCACTTACAAACTTGTCTGTAAAAAGGGTCCACGGACAAAAAGACAAACATTTTAAAAATAACTTATTTTATGTTCCACAGAAGAATGAATTTCATACAGGTTTGAAATGACATAAGGGTGAGTAAATGGTGACCATTTTTATTTGTTTGAACTATTCCTTTAACTATGATTATAAGGACATTACACACCATTTGAACCTTTGGTTTAAAGGGGTCATATGATGCGATTTCAATTTTTCCTTTCTCTTTGGAGTGTTACAAGCTTCGGCCAATCACAACGAACTGGATAGCTGGCCAATCACAGCACACCTCGCTTTTTCAGACCGATGAGCTTTGTAAAAATCGACGCGTTTCAGAAAGGCGGGGCATAGAGGAGAAACAATAATGTACAGTATGTGGAAAATAATGTGTTTTTTTAACCTTAAACCGCATAAACACATTTCATTACACCAAATACACAAAATAATGTTCTTTTTAGCAACATCATATGACCCCTTTAAAGGACCATTTCCCTTGAGCATAGTTACAAGTGAGTATATGTGCTTATCTATACTTTTGCTTCTCTCTATGCTCCTCTGCTCCTGCCTGTGCTGCTCTGCTCATCAGACTTTCCATTGGCCCCAAAATGCACCAGTGAAAGGGGTGTAGAGATCAGAAGCAAATGTAACAATGATGGGAAAATAGGCACATGTTAATTACTCCAGTTATAAGGGGATTCTTGAACTGCAGATTATGGCAGAATGCTCTGCACTACAGCTCACATCCTTTGCTTCCCATGATGCAATGCTTACCTTTCAACCATTCATACCCTGTAGATTAAAAATTCTTTCATGCTGCAAAATTCACTTTTTTTGGACCCAGGAAACAAGCAAACCCCACTGAGTGAATGCAGAGGGATCATTCACCGTCATGTCTTTGGGTAACATAGGCACATACATTCACACTTCAGTCATTCAGTCCTTCATACGCACATTTGTACACATATACACTCATGAGCTTCCAAATACTCACTGAACTAAAAAGAACAAACACATCCAGGAATTAACTTATGAAAAACATGAAAGAAAGAGTCACAAAATTAGTTGACACAGGAAAACAAAAGCAACACTATGTGAGAAAAACAAAAAAAACAAAGACAAAAGAGACAAATTAGGACACTGACACTCAGTTGACAGCCGACAGTATATTAGAAAATTGCCACAGGAAATTTGTAACTAAATATTAAATATTTTTCTTGTCCTTTCAGAATGGATAGCATTAATCTAATCTTCTTTTTCAAAATGGGTATGTAAAGTGCACATCAGTGCTTACATAATATGATACATCAATATATCTCTTCCCTAGTAGGAATGACAAGATTTCCACTCTGCAAAAATGACTAAATGTGGGCCCTCCTAAAACCGCTTGTGGTATTATTATGACCACATATGAGTTTTTGGGTTCAAAATATTGCTTAAACAAAAATCATTTGAAAGTAAGAACCATGCGTTTAAATGTTTGGGGTTGATAAGATCTCTTATGCTCAACAAGGCAGCATTTATTTGATCAGAAATAGAGTAAAAACTGTAATATTGTGAAATATTAAAAATAGCTATCTCTCTATTTTATTATATTTTAAATCTATTTAATGTGTGTTTGCTGAATAAGAGTATAAGTTAAAATAAAACTTTTGAGCGGTGGTGTATGTACATGGCTGTTCGAATGTGTGAGTCAGTGTTTGTATTTGTGGATGTAGATATAATATTCATGTGCATCTGTGTCTCACCTTTGAATGCCCTGAAAAGTACTGCTTGCCATGTCTATGATGCCCCCTGTAGGTCTGGCCACCACTCCAACCAGGCCTTTCCCAATGCCCTTGAAGAAGCCTGCAGCCCCCTCTTTCTTCGCCCCTAAACCCATGACGATATATTATGCATCATATTTGTGCATTTTCAATTCCCAATCATTTTTGGCATCACTGAATACAAAAAAGATCAAATTCATTCAAGTGAGTGTTGCATGAGCAGTAAACCGCCATACCTTCCACCGGTTTGGTCACAATTCCTGTTACTCCACCAACCACACCCTGAAGGAGAACAGAGAAATGACAGAAGTCAGATCATGCTAAATACAATGCAATGGTATTATCTATAATGCACAAAATAGAATGGCAAATGCTTTGATGTCGTCTTGGATGCTTTTTTATTTGTGTAGGAACTTGTGTTCAGTACCTTGAGGAAACCCTTTCCTCCTTTAGCCAGACTCTCTCCAAAGTCTTTAGTGGGTCTGTTCATCTCCTCCCTCCGTTTCTGCTGATACTCTTTGTCCATAGTGATGGCAGCCAAGCCTTTTCCTACAGTGCCTGTTATACGAGACACCATCCCAGCTGCGCCCCCTAGGAAGATAATGTCGAAAATAATCATGTGCATTAAGGATCCTCTGTGAGTATATGTGGGTTTGAGGGAGAAAAGCAGTAAAGCAGGGAGTCTTACCCACTGTGTGGCCCAGTAAACTTCGAACACCGATAACAAGACCTTCTGCAAATTCCTCAGGTCCTTGAACAGCCCCCTACACACACAAACAAATGTTATCAATCTAAAGTAGACCACACAAATCATAACTTGATAACCTTGTAAAACATGACACGTGAAAGAACAGTCATAAATGTAGAAGTTTTTTTTTTAAATCGAACTGTAGAACCACGACACAGAAAGCTAAAAATATATAAATATAAAGTTATATAAATAAATAATATATATATATAAATTTATAGACATTTAGACATTTAAATAATAATACAGCAGGCTGCATATATTAAATTAAATTCAATTAAAATTTTAATTTAAGGATTAAATGATTTGATGGTCATTTTAGTAGCCATAATACATCATTACATGCATTATATTGATATTTTAAATATTCCTCAAATACCTGTGGTATCATATTTGACACTCTTTTCTATGTGGATGGGCTGATCTAGGTTACTCAAAGCTGTACTCATATCTGGCATTTGAAAGTTAACACACTCACATTTGTAGTGAATTAAACGATGAGGCCTGAACAGATAGATAAATGAACAGCATGTGTCAGACCTGGATGGGCTCGTAGAAGAAAGCCTCCACTCCTTCTGATAAGCCTCGGATCAGCCCGAATGGATTTCCAAGAACATCCAGACCCAAAACCAGCACGTACATCTGCGTTAGGAACTATGAGGAGAGAAAGAGACTCTGAACGTCCTCCTGATACAATGATTTAAAGTGAAAATGTAAGCGTGTTGGAGAGCGTTTGCTCATGGAATGAACTCTGACATTGCATGAGTGTGTATTTAGATCACCCACTTGCTCAGAGTAGTGTCTGATCACCGCCCACATCAGTTTCTCCCGTCGGTAGAACTGATATTTCACCTCAAAGTAAGCCAGTCTGAAACAAAGAGTGAGACAAAAGGATGTCAGTCGATGCCCATGTGAAAGTCATTATTAGGGTGCATGCACAGCTCAAAGTCTTACTTGAAAATCAGATCATCTACATCAGTGAGTGTGGCACCAATGCTTTTGAGCAGGAGGTTGACGGACTGGATGGCGACCATATCCCCCTGCTCAGATTCATCTCCACTGGAGCCCAGAGACAGACTCAGGTGCAGCTATAGGAACACACACATAGTTTCCTAGGTCAATCATAAACAATTACATGTCATTTTACAGTTTGATGCGGCTACCTGTCAAAGAAATCCTTTTGCAATTTATCAATCATTTGACATTATTAAAAAATAATAAATGCATTTAAGATTTCTATTATAAATAAATCCGGTTCTTTTGAACTTTCTAAATCAAAGAATCAAAGATCACAGTTTTCACAAAAATATCAATAATAACAACAGTTTTCAGCACATACAATAATAAGAAATGAAATAAGAAATTTCTGAAGGATCACGAGACACTGAAGATTGGAGTAATGGCTGCTGAAAATTCAGCTTTGCCATCATTTAAAATATATTAACACAGAAAAGAGTTATTTTAATTCAATATCTCAATATTACTGTTTTTCTGTATATTTGACAAATAAATGCAACCTTCTGATGCAGACTTCTGATGCAGAAATGCAGACTTCTTTCAAAAACATTACAACACTGAATGGTAGTGTATGTAACTGTCCTGCCATGCTATTGCATGTGGAAAACTGAAACTAGGGAGCAGGTCTTATCTGAGATTTCAAATTTCTGTGACAAGTGACCCTGAAGAGAACATGTGCTGTGTTTTGGAGTGGACAGCGGTGCTGGCTCATTACTTTAATAGGAGAGATGTGGAAATGCTCAAAGAAGCTGAGGCCTGAGGTGTCTGTCATGGAGCTCTCCATCAGCTGAGCCTGCAGCGCCTCCAGATCCTTCTCTATCAGCTTATTCTGAAGCAGAGGGAAACACATACTGACATCTCCAGTCCCCTCTTCATTCACATTGCATAAAGCCACACGAGATTACAACACAAAAACAAAAGTAAGTAATTATGGAGGAAGTGTTTGCCACTGCAATCATTATGGATTATTTTATGAGTAAAAATATGTGACAACAACACGTGTCAGAAAAAAGCAGTAGTTACCCTCTCTTTACTATCCTGGGAGTCGGTAGCTGGGGTAAACAAGGCGAGGATTGCTCCCAAGAAGCCCTGATCGATCTTCACTGCCATCTCCTGCACTAATGCCATAAAGTACCTACACAAAAACAAACAATGCCAGTCAAAGGCTGGATCTACTTGTTCTTTATTCTACTCTATTCCCCAAATTAAAACAATAGTCATCAAAAATAAAAGTAATCAAAACTATAAAATAACAAATAGAATTATTGGAATTGTGTAGTGCCTATATAT